TGGGTTGCGGCTCCGCAGGGTTAGTCACTGGCAGACCGGAGACGCTTTGTTTACCTGCAGCATCCGCAGGTATGGCTGATTGCAGCTCTCAGTGGCCACAGTTCGCTTTTCCTGGCCAATGGGAGCTGCGGGAAGGAGCGTGGGCTGGGCCACCACTTCCCACAGCTCCCATTGGCCGGGAACGTTGAACCACGGCCACTCAGAGCTGCGATCAGCCGTACCTGTGGACGCTGCAGGTAAACAAAGCGTCTCCGGGCCACCAGCGGCTAACACTGACATAGAGGATGGTTATAGCTGCCTACTGTGTCCTGTATAATAGCTGTGAGGCAAAGGGGGAAAAATTTCTGCTGGGGTGGCGGGCGGAAGTGGTGCGGCTGTCTGCTGAATTTGAACAGCCAAACATAAGGGCTATAAAAGCTCAACGCAGAACTATATGGTTCAGGAAGGCTTTGAAAGACCATTTTAACAGTGTGCTGGAGTCGTGTGTCTGCTTCCTGGTCCTGCTCTTTTGCAACCCATATGAATCTTGCAGTGAGTGCTGTGTGTGTAGGAATATTACATTGCCAATGCACCTATTAGTATTGTCTGAGAATGATGCCATAGATTCTGTGATAAAATGAAGTAACAAGAAATTGGTGGGGATCAGACCTGCTCAGCACCAGCCACAGCCAGCATTTGCTCCAAAAAAGAGAATTTTATTCTGTAACGTGAATCAGGAAAATAAAACGGCTTATAGGTCTTTGTAAAAGCAGATGGTCCGTGGCTCTGCCCCAGCTCTATTGATAGCCTCCCTGGCCTTCTGGTACGCCAGCCGCAGCCACTTGGCTTGCACATGGCACTGCTGCTGGTGCCTGTCGTACCCCTTCTCCTGCAGCCCGAGCAATCTGTGCAAAGACGTTGATGTTTCTAGTGCTGGTCTGTAGCTGGGCCTGCACAGCCTCTTCTCCCACAGGCCCAGGAGATCCAATACCTCCCATGTACTCCAGGCAGGGGTGTGGCTGCAGTGTGCAGCCGCCATGGTCAGCCGGGCAGTGGCACACAATAACGGAGCGCAGCTAAGTGTGCTCACCAAGCCAAGAAATCAAGAAAAGGAATTTCAAAAATTCCTGGAGCTTTAAAGGGGGATGGGCAGCGTCCTATCTGCCTCACCCCTGGGCAGCAGAGTTCACAAGGGTGAGCAGAGCGGTCAGGGTGGGGCATTGTGGGACAGCTCTTGGAGGCCAGTAATAGTCGATGTAAGTAATGCAGTGGTGTTATTAAATCGCTGTAGCAGGGCAGTTACGTTGGTGGGAGAGATGTTTAAGAGTAGCTATATCCACAGCAGGGGCAACATAAGCTGCCTTGCGTCAACCAAACTGTGGTATGCAGACCAGGCCTAATTCCACTAGGCAGCAGGGAACCTAAATGTTAGGCATTATAATGCTAAGTCTAAGGCCTCTTGGTGATTCTAGCCCCAGGTCCCTTAATACCTTTGAGGCGCAGGGACAAAGTGACTTACCCAAGGTCACACATGGTGGAAAAGTCTGCTATGCCCCAGGCTAGCCCCCCGATCCACTGGAGTCAGCTTGTCTCTTGGCTTCGCTGTCAGATTCCAGGCTGACTGATTTTACAAACCTAAACAAATCCCATCGCCATGCTAGGTGGGAACTGGCTAGGACTGACCTGGTGTCCCTGAGCGAAAACAAAGCTGAAATTCATGTGTAAAGCACCACGTCTCAGAGCAGCCAACGTCAGGGCCAAATCAGTTTGCAGATGTTCTTTGAAAAAAAATCCTTCAGCAATAAGACAGCTTGAACATGCGTGTGAATAATCCACTTGGCAGCTACCTCGTTACAAATGGTGCTCATGCAACAGCTAAAACGCACGCTAATATAATTACTTCTCCATGGACCTGTTCTCTCAATTGCTCACCATTTAAGCAATATGCTGGATTTGTAGAAGGGTGCTAAACTTCTAATGTCATTTATACAAATGACTAGCACATAAGAGTGACTAATCTAAAACATACCAGTGGGCCTGTCCAGGCCCAGCGCGTGGCTAAGCCCAGGTGCCTCAAAGGGCCACTGCTGACCGACTCTTCAAAGTCGCTCCCTTTCCTATTTGCATCACTGCCCCTGTCAAAGTGTCCCTCTTCTGGGCCAATTGTTTGGGTGCCTGAGGGGAGCTGAGTGATTCTGGCAATTTAGTCCATTGAAACCGGGTTTAGAACTTAAAGCCGAGGGCTATTCCTGGCTTTGGCATAGTCTGCCTAAGAAACCTAGGCAAGTCCCACATTCGCTGTGTGTCAGTGTCTGCCTGTTGGACAATGGCCACAATGCTCCTCCCCACCTTTACTGCTGGGGCATTAACAGCCTCAGCTGAAAGATGCTAAGTGCAAGTTGTGACGTCCACTGTTCTAACTGTGCACAATTTAATGGGTCGGGAGGGAGATTTTCCCCCCATCTCTGGCTGGACTCATATCCTAAGAACCAAGAGCAGGGCTGTCCTAAGGGGCAGGTGGGCCAAATCAGCATAGGCATGGGAACAAGGAGTGTGAGGGGGGCGGGGGGTGCTGCAGCAACCCCTGGATCCCAGCTGCCGGCCCTGCATGCCCGGGATCCTGACTGCCACCCCGCGGGCCGGGGTCCCGGCTGACGCCCTGCACCCGGGGCTCTGCTGCCACCCCACGTCTGGGGCTTTGCTCCTGGCCTCAGCTGGGGCGGTGGTGGACAGGGGTAAGGGAGCTGGCTTTCAGCACCCCCTACTATTAAAAATGTTCGAGCCCCACTGCAACTCAGCCCCCTCTGCATCGGCGGCTGGGCCGGCGGGATGGATCTGGCTTGCGCTGGGCCGCCTGCTGCTGCTGGCAGTTGCCGGCGCCTACGTGGGGCTATTGTTGGCCATAGCACCATGGCGGCTCAGGGCTCTGGCCGGGGCGGGGGACTCGCTGCATCGGATCTTCCAGAACTGATCACACCGGCCTGCGGGACCTCCCAAAGTGCAGGGCCCGGAGTAGTCGCCCCGATTTGCCCTACCCAAGGGATGGCTCTGACCAAAAGCCCCTCGTCTTGCAAAGCTGCTGCAAGCTAATGGACTGAAATGCAACTTTGTGTATCTGAGCCAAAGCCAGGCCCATTGTCTGACTTTGGAGCCACAAGGCTATGCTTGTGCTAGCTAGTAAAAACCATTTGTTGACGCTAGCCCAGCCATTTTGACCAGACAAGCACGAACATGGCAGCATGATGGCTGGGCAGATACTAGTGCTGGCGCTTGATGTATTATGAGAAGGGACGCCGAACCCATTGTGCTATGTAAGACTGTGAGCACAATAGACCAGTGGTTTTCAAACTTCTTAGTACCCCATGCCAAATAGTGTCATCTACTGCATACCCCCATCTGAGACCGGCAGAGGTGCTGTGGTGGGGTCATGGTCCTCCCCACCCAGATTTCTGCCTTTCATTTAGCAACAGCTTTTAGGGGGTTTTCAAACTGGGTGGCCTGCTGAGGTGAGTTTGCAGGGCGAGGGTTGGGGGGGACGTGGTGTGCCCTTCCCGAGCCCCCACCGTACAGGGCTGGCCTGAGCCACCTGGAATCACCGCTCCCCCCAATGGTCAGGAGTGGGGGTGCCCCTCTGGGAGTTTGATTCTGAGTGGCACAGCAACCAGAAGTCGTACACCAATGGGACTGCAGTTTTAACGGGAAGGCACTTGGCCAGCTAATCAATGTTTAATTGCTAAGTTCCTTCCCATTAAACTGCAGCCCCACTGGGGTAAGTCTAAGGCACTGTCCGCCATTACAGGATCTTTTCTCCCGCACGCCCTGACGAGAGCTTGCTTACCCCAGTGTGAAAAACCACTGCATGCCCTGGCAACCAGCAGGCCTTTCAGCCCAGGCTGTTATGTCTCCTCATGTAGGTTAGTAGGCAGCATGCTAATGGTTTAAGCTGTTTTTCAGTGCTGACCCGCTGCTCTAGTGCTCATGTCGGCTGGTCCTGCAGCCTGCATGTTATACGCCTAGGGGCATTCTGCGCCCAAACATTCAAAATCCTGCACACAATAGTTGAAAAGTCTGCACATTTTATTTATCAAAATAACACTATGTAATCAGGCTAGTCTCAATTATTTTAGTAATTTATTTCAAAATACCTGTCAGCAAGTATGTCTGTAACAATACAGACACTCACACACATTCCCCCAGAGTAGAGAGTGAAAGAAATCCCTATGACAACCCAGGCCCTGTTTCTCTGCCCACTTCCCCCCACACTCTGAGCCCAGCCGTGGGGCCCTCTCCCTTCCCCCCAGAGCCCAGCCGTGGGCCCCCCCCAGCCCAGATACCCGCACTCCCTCCCCCCCCCGAGGCCCAGCTGGGGCCCCCCCCCCAGCCCAGATACCCGCACTCCCTTCCCCATGGCCCTCAGGAGGTAGGGATTATTACATCCTTTCCACACAGGAAGGCAGAGACATGTTAAGTGCCTTGGTGGCAGAGGCAGGAATGGAACTGAGACCTTATCTACACATGAAAGCTGCAGGGGTTTGACTTAAACTGATTTAGTTCAAACATTGCAAAAGTCTGTGTGGATGCTTCTCTGTCTGTTTAAACCAGGCATATTTCAGGTCATCTAGCATAAAACTCCTGCCTACTTGATTTAAAATTGAAATGGTTCAGTATAAATGTGGACTAAGTAGAATTTACAAAAACTATTTTAAGTAAACTGCCTCCACTGTCTCTTACACGCCAGGCCTGAATGCACTATGATTCCCAGGCCCTAGTCTTGTTTGTGTGAGGTATGAGCTTCCATGTAGATGGGTGTTTATGAATTCACTGCTAGAGAGTGAGAATATATTCTTCTTTGCTTCACAAACTAGACACTAAAAATCCATTTAGTCAAGGAGAGAGTCTTTGGGGAAAGAGTTTTAGAACTGAGCTCATCTTACGTACTCCATTCTTCTGAATTACCCTGCTCATTAGCCAAGTGATTCTGGGGTCTGATATCCTTTACACAACAGCAAAAATAAAAATCCTTTAAACACAAAATATTCTTTTATTTGTCACCGAAGGCTACACACGGTCACTTCTGTTTGTTTTTCTAGAAGGTATCTACATTTGCACTTATTTACAGCCTTGTAGTATTTACACAGTCAAGAATACAGTGTTAGAAACACAAAGTGTTGAGAAAAAAAAATTCTCAAAAATTAGTTCCAGACTTCAGGAAAATTATTACACATGGTAATGACAAGAGGCTCCCGTGTTGGTATTACAGCTGCAGCTCTGATACAAAGTCCTCCTTCTAGACTAAAAGAACAGGAGTAGCTGCATTCAGAAGGCCTCATGCAAAATAAGCAGATTTATTTGTTTTAATAGAAAAGTGTGATGCTTTGATTTGTTACTTCAGTCACATCACTGAAACTGTCCTGCAGTTTGACCCAGTCTTTGCCAGAACAGTTTTGGTTGGTGTTCACTTGGAGTTTTCAGGGCTCCTCTGCTCGAATACCATTTCCCTCTGGGATGGGGGTTAACAGTTAAGCCATGTAACATTTTGTCATAAGCACAACTTTTTAAAATTGCTATAAACATGAGAGAGACAATAATTTTGCTGTCTACCCCCACCTTTTTTTTTAACGTTTAAGACTGTTTTCAGTTCAAATAACACAGCTTCATATATATCACTATAGGAAATAAGATCACAGCCATCAGGACATGATATAGCCTTCCTTAAACAAGGTACATTTAGTGGGAGGGGCATTCTAAAACTGATCATTTTGTACAATGCAAACAGTGTGTCTTTTAAAAAATCACTCTCCAATCCTGGAGGATTTTAGTTAAACGTACCCTACAGTTAAAAGTCCATTGGCTTTATTTTGTTTAAAATCAGTAAAATCTTTGTTGTAACTTGGGAAAATAATATAGTTAAATATTTACTATGAGCTATAATAGAAAAGAAATGGTGAAAATCATTCAGTTCGAATAAGGACAGTATTAATACTAACAAAAACAAACAGGCCAGTGGTCAACACAATGGGGTCCTGTGAGGATTTCTATGCTATGCAGGGATGGTGGATTGTGTGTTTCAAGATAACAAGGTCCAAAGTTTATTTCACCAAAGGGCCTGTTACAGTGTGCACCATTATGAACATAATTTGTATGTGTCTTACCCAGGTTCAGCAGTGCTAAGATACAGCCTTTCACTGCCGAAGATAAACCAAATACCAGTTAACAAGCCAAGCAATCTTTAGCTCCATTATTAACATTGTGTGTTTATGCCCCCTTGGTGTTTAAAGAGCAGCCGCATTGCTGAGATCTGTGGTCCTGGTTTCATTTACGCTGCGATTGAATCAAAACAGACGGCCGTGCTATAAATATGACGGGGGCCCTCGCTGTAAATCACAAAATCAAATTCTAAAATTTCCTGTTAAGAGTCTTGTCTTTGCATAATGGAGTGCATTGTCATTTATCATGGTGACACTTACAAGTCACAGCCGAAAAGGTGCTTTATTAGATTTTTTTTTTAACCAATTTTGATTTATTCTTGTTGCAGAGTCCGTTTAGCAGCCGGAGCAGAATCTTACCATTCCCTCAGCTCAGTAAAGCGACCACAGATACAGTACAGAATTTCCTCACTGTTCCTAACCTACAGCCAAATGATGTCTTGAGGACAGCTCCCAGTCATCTGTCTTTTAAACCCAAATCAAGCATGAGGTCGCTTAACGGCCTCCATCTATTTTGTTCTTGCCTGGTATTTTTAAGATTTGTTGGCCCATTTTGCCATGGCTCTGATCAATAGCAGTAATGACAAAGATACGATGCGCTGTATGAGTCCCTCCGGTCACTGGTGCTTAATGATTTTTTCCAAGCTCTGGATAGACAATTTCTGTCCAAAAAAGCTTGGAGGAAACAAACATTGCAGTACATCTCACAGTGCTAAATGAGTCTAGTGGGGCTGAAATTGCTACACAAATGCGATGCCTTCTGAATAATGAAAGTCAAAGGTAGGAGTGAGCCAAACCTGCAGGGGACAAAAAACTGCACTGATTCCTCTCTGTAGTGGGTGGAAAAGGGAAAAAGCTGCAGCTATCCATCCCGCAACGTGAACTTCCTATGGGCATAGCTGGAAGCTCCACTGTTGGATCATTTAAAACAAGGTTGAAGAGTGCAGTAGACTTGTCTGCTGCAGAGACCGACCTGCTATGAGTCTGGTCCAGATGATACAGGTGCCAGGTCTAATTTTGCTACAAAATAAACACATTTCAGCACATGTGGCTTGATCCTCAAGTCGACATGCGGGCAAAAACGTCCACTAATCCAATGGGAGTTTTGTCTGAGTGCAGACTAAGACCTGTGGGCGCTTGTCCTTGATACTGCTGGCCTGGACTGTGAATTGATTAGGATAGCAGACCCCCCCACAACTAGATTTCAAGGTCAGCAGTGGCACTTCAAACACAATTCATTGTAACTTGAAGCTGCTGATTCACACTAGTTCCATTTTGAGGGAAATGTGCAAGGGGCGGGGGCTGGAATTCTTTTGGGGCAGGATGTGTGCTTGTTAGTCAGAAACTAAACCCAGCTGTTCCATGCTAGCCTTGGTCCTGGCAGTGGGTCCTACATGATCATTAAAATGAATATTTAGGGTAATGCCTCAGGGTGGAACTTAGGACTTCTGCATCTGAAAAGCACAAACCTCTACTGCCTGAGATCAAACTCTTTTAGCAAAAAGTCGGCAGCAGACCCATAAACCTCGGTGTGGTTCAGCTCCAAGAGGGGGACAGAGCCACCCACTGTACGTGAGGGATAGAAATGGAATGTCAGGCTACAGGTGCCATAGGGGAAAGATTTATTCACAGATTCCAAAGCCATAAGGGACCATTGTGATCATCTAGTCTGACCTCCTGTATAACACGGGCTCGAGAACTTCCCCAAAACAATTCCTGGAGCAGATCTTTTACAAAAACAGCCAATCTTAATTTAAAAATGATCAGCAATGGAAGAATCCACCACAACGCTTGGTAAATTGTTCCAATGGTTAGTACTCTCACTGTTAGAAATGGACCCTTTATTTACAGTCTCAATTTGTCTAGCTCCAACTTCCAGCCATTCGACCGTGTTAGACCCTTCTCTGCTAGATTAAAGAACCCGTTATTAAATATTTGTTCTCTATGTAGATACTTATACACTGTAATCAATTATGGGTAAGCTGCATGAGTATGTTGTTCAGCAGGGCAACAGTTAACAAGTGGTCAAGCGGCCCTGGAATTTTTAACATTCCCCTTACCCCAGAGGGTGAACTCCACAGAAAAACACTGGACTCTTGTAGACAAGACCCTTATGGCAGGACAAGGGGAATCTTACAGTGCCAGGATAGTAAATAGCCTTTCAGGTTTTCACCCCCCTCCAGTAAGGTGAGTGGGAGATATCCCAAACCTCTCTTGATACTATTGCGCTGCTGACGACACAAGCAGTCGACTGTCTCCTTGATCGATTGTTTAGGTTTGTCTTAGTTAGTGCTAGAGGAACATCATTCTGTTGAAGGACCTTTTTAATAGTCAGGAGAGAAGAGATTCAAAATAATAACTCCTCCATTTCCTGGGCTGTGCACAGACTCCAACTCCAGGCCACTAATGGACTTTAATGGGAAGTCGGGCAGTTTTAGACCCAGCACATTGCTTGTGAACGAAGAGTTAAATCTAATTTGCACTGATTTTTGCCACGATGTGGATTTGGATTGCTCTTGGCTACAGGCAGATTTGTGAGACTCATGAAAAATGGAAGACCTACTCGGATTCATTAGTTGTGTAATAACCTGAAGACTCTGGGTAAGGCTATAAAGGTAACATCTCAGGCCAGCAAGGTTTCCATTGGGAGTGTTTCAGACTTGAATTTCCTTTCCTCTACTCCATGTAAACGTAGCAGATTTACCATCGTAAAATCCCCATTACTTTTTTAACAAACATATGTGAATGGATACGAGACTTCCCTGTCTTCCCTGCTACACTTTGCCAGAGCAGCGTTAAAAGGAAGAGGTGGTGTATGGAACAGAGTGTCTAGCTGTTTTATAACACACAGATGGGCAGCCCATTCATTTTCAGCCAGCATTAGCTCTGCTCTGTTTCAGAACCTCCTCCTCCCAGAGAGTGAAGCCACTCTGACAGAACTGGTGCTGATTTTCAAGACTTACCACTACTTGCTATTTACTCCTGCCAATATATTTCTCCATAAAGGATGCCTGCCAGTTCAGTCCTGGCCAACGCTCTTCCTGCTCTGCAAAGAATAACACTGAATTACTGTATCAAAACCACTCCCTTTCCTGCAAGCCAGGAGGAATTATTAAAACAGCAGGATGGTAGGTAAGCATCAGAGATGGTGAACTTCACATGGGTCAATGTTTGGGTTCAGTTAAGATCAGAATCTAAAACTCTGGATGCGTCTCTCACTGGGTCTGTAACATTAGGTTAAAATTTTTACGGCGAACAGGCTCTCTTGGGAGATTTCCTTCACTTCCATCTGGCAAAAGCATGAGAACAGCCAGGAGGGGGCCTTAAGGACAGAGTCAGACAAGTTCTGCATCCACAGGAAAGTTGTGATAGAACTGGGGCCACCACAATTTTCTCTATCAATGGAGTTTGTGCCCACTGAGTCCTTTCCACCCTTGTTGCTATCCTGTAACTGAGTAGACCCGGGGATACCGTCTTGGCAGAAGGCAGTGATGCTGGTGGTGGGGTTTACTGAGCTTGGTGCGTGCAGCGGAAGAGGGCGTGATTTTAGGGGACTACAGAATACCATGCTCCAAGGGCCGGCTCTGAAACCTCTCTTGTTATGATGTTTTGGCATGGCTCAGTCTGTCTCTGGTTAGAACCTGGAAGCAAAAACTGAAGATGAAAGAAGTTAAAAATTTCAGAATGTGTAAGAGGTTCTGAGCTGCTCTTTGAAAGCCGGTGAAAGTTCAGGGGTGTGTGGGTGAGGGATAGCTCAGTGGTTTGAGCATTAGCCTACTAAACCCAGGGTTGGGAGTTCAATTCTTGAGGGGTCCACTTAGGCATCTGGGGCAAAATCACTAAGTGATCCTGCTAGTGAAGGCAGGGGGCTGGACCTTTCAGGGTCCCTTCCAGCTCTATGAGATAGGAATGCTGACTCTTTCAGAGCCAGAGGTCTGGATGGCATCACACCTGTGTTTCTCTGACTGCAGCAATGTCCTGTATCAGCAGAGAATTTTCTCAGGAAGAAGCTCAGCTCAGTCTCCTTGTTCACGTGAATCACAAGGACTCTTGCACATACCATAGCACGGGCTTATGTGAGTACAAATTACATTAGCATGTCAAGCAACTTTGTCAGCAGTTTCTTGTAAACTACTTGGGCTCCTCTCTAGTGGGCATTTCTATTCAAATGCCTCCTTGTTCGCTGTTAACCCTCACTGGGCTACTCACATAATTCGAGCTCCTTCGTATCCCAGTGGGGCGGAAGGGGAAAGGAACAGTTAGAGGCTTGGGTCCAATATTTCCCCTGCTGCTGTTGCTTATTAAACCTTTTAAATTCCCTGCTGACAGAGTTCCAGAGAGGCAGGTTTGCCATAGCCATAAATGATTTACCAACCTGGCACTGAAAACCAGTTTCCAGGCTAATAAAGACAGCCCCCAAAAGCAAGAATGCTGGAGTATGGATTTGCTGCACTCTTCAATGGTATGTGGGAGACTATCCTACTTTCAGACTCAAATTAGCTTCCTAAAAATGAAGTTGCTTTATTGGACACAGCCCAGCGGACTGCTGAACACACAACCTGGTGTACTGAAATACTATGCATTTAATGGGGTTATGTCTACAACTTCGGTGCATTCAACCCATCGAGAGAACAGCTCTAGGCACGAGAGAGGATGTTTTCCAATAGAGTGGGAGCATTTTTCTTGGCCTTTACTGGCTTTTTAAACTAAAAACAGGATTTGTGCATGGACCAAAAAAGCAAGAGAAAAAAATCTACTATCATAATGAAAAAGACTGGTTTTTTTTTTAATTCCAGTTCAGGAAGGAAGAGAATCATCTTGCAAGTTAATATATTCTGCTCCTTTTGCCACTATAATCTACTTCTGTGCAGCAGGAGCCCAAGAAACACTTTCTGTCCCAAGTGAAAGGTGAAAACTCCTTGTAAGTTCTCTTTTGAGGCACACGATTCAGACAGTCACTTTGAGAGATTCGGAATCATTGTCATCTTCCGTTTCCAGCGTGCCCAGCGTTTCTGAGCTGCTCTTCGGGTGGAAGGCTAGCTGTCCCTGTGCCAAATAAGAAAGGATTAGGATGAAACAAGTTAGCACAGACACCCATTTCTCACTTCACACCGAGTAACCCATGGATGTACGTTGACAACTCCCCATTTTAAATTCCTCACAAAAGGGAAAAAAGGACAAAAGAGAGTAAATTTCACTGTGATCACACTACGGCAAAATATACCTTCTGTTCATTGCAAAAAACATGTGAAGGCCAAATTTAAAATAAAAAAAAAGTATGTTGCATGAGTTACAGTGCAACCATATTCTTTCTCTCCTTATTTTCCTCCCCCCGCCAGGTTCAGTTTAGAAAAAGGATTGAGTACAACACAGTCAGGTAAGTGGCCACAAAAGAGTAGCTGTCTTTGGCAAGAAGTCACCGCATTGACCCTCTCTGTCACCTTCTGCCCATTTCGCTCTGTCTCATAAAATGGATGTTGTTGGCGCTGTCTGAGAGTTCTGGGTATTGCTCCACTGAGATCACAAAGTAGCCGTCATAGCCCTGCACCCGGCCCGTGTTTAGCACTTGCTGCTTCTCCCCTTCTGTCCACGAGCGAATGCCCTCCTCCCCATCCCGCAGTCTCTGCTGCTCCCTGGCCCAGGCCTGGGCTATGGCACGTTGCCTGGCCAGCTCCAGCACGCGGGCTTTCTCCTCGTCCAAGGTGGTCCCATAACGGGTGTTTAGACACAGTGCTCCATACTGGAGCTGGATGTCCGTATAACGTCTAGTCCTTCCGCTGAGTATTGTGTTGATCTGGGACACTGTAACGTTCACGCCGTTCTCCAGGGTTCTCCGCCCGCCACTGAGGCCCAGTATGGACAAGTCGCTTTCTGATGGCCCTTGCTTAACGAAATAATGTGTGTCCACTCCCTCGATGGTGAAGTGCAAGTTCTCCAGGTAGTGGGCGTTGTTCAGTATGGCTGCGATCCGGCGCCCGTCCTCATTGGCCAGACTGATGATGTCGGTGGCCACACGCCCATCCTTCATGGCAAACTTGACCCCTTTGCCAAAGACAGATCCTCCTGAGGCAAAGTTCTTGTTCTCCTTGACCGTCCGGCACCCAGCGATGCTGGAACTGTAGATCTGTTCAAAGCGCTCTAGGGTGACGAAGGCTTTCAGCTGTTTCTGCACTTCACACTGCACTCCCAAGATTGACTGGGAAGGGAGAGAAGGAGAGAGAGAGACGCAAATTAGAAAGAGATGCCGGGGGACTGAAAGGTATCGCTAGCACATTGGAGAGCAGAGAAATAACATGGTAGGATCCAATGAGAAGAGCCAAAGGGTTCTGCTTCCTCTAGCTACTTCTTAGCGTTGGTCTGGAAAATAGTCTTTCTTTTTAATGAAACAACTGATTGAGATTCCTGTGCTTGCAGGCTATTCTCCCTAACTGCCATCATGCCAGGACACTGAACTGAATGTAACATCATCCCTTTGAAAGAGTGGATGCTGGGGTGGAGACAGACCCCAGCATGGAGGGGAGATTATGGTTTAGTGGTGACAGGGAGAGACAGTTGCATTCTACCCCACTCCTTCTGTGACCTTGGGAAAATTAATTGCTCATGCTTCAGTTTTCCTCATCTGTAAATCAGAAATGATTCATAGCTGATTACCGGGAATCTTCTAGTGATTAATATTTGTAAAATGCTTTGAGGAAAGGTGCTCAATAAGCTCAAAGTATTTAAATAGTAGCAGTTTCCTTCTGTTTTAACCTGGTTTTGATTCCACCCTGCACCGTCCTCCAAGGCTGCACATCACAGTGTGATCCTCACTCTGGCCAAAACACTCTTTTCCAGAGCCCCTCAATGCCACTTGAAGCATTGGCCGACGTGGATATTCAGGCCAAAGTGAGGTGCTAACACTCCCCTCCCCTCACTGATACAGTGCTCCCAGTCTTCCTGTGGGATCAGGTCCTTGGCTATTAGGACCCAATCTTGAAGCTCAATTTTTACAGAGGCAAAACTCCCATTGACATCAATGGGAGCTCTGCCTGAGTAAGGACTGAATAGGGACCACAGCCTGAGATCACCTGTAGACAGTTTTAATGCAAAGTGACTTTTGCTGTTAGCAATTAACGGAGCAAATGCCCTGAGTGATTCAACGGCTTATCATTCCTGCAAAATGTCTGTAGAAACATACTCATCCATTGACAGGAATGCCGTCTTCTTTCCTACTCCTGTCCAGGAACAATTATCTGCTCAAATTTCACAAAAGCGAGACGATGCCATAACAAAAGTCTCCTATCCCTGCCAAGAGCTTAATTCAATAAGGTAACGACAGCCAGCATTAAAAATAGGTTACAGAGGAAAGGAGGCCACCCTCACTTTTTTTTAAAGTGAATTTAAGAGCTGTGAAAGTTGCTGGCTTAACAGCCCTGGAAGCTGAACACTCCTGTTTTCCTCAATATGCCTTAGCCCTTTCCTGGAGAGACCCTTTTTCGGGGTGACAGAGGACAATTCAGACTCCATGATTAGTCTAACTTTGGCGTCTTGGCTGAGTCAATGTTAATTTACATGGGGCTGTTATGAGCACCTGTCACTGAGGCATGTGATCGAGCAGATGCTCTATTTTGCTGTTACATATTCGATTTATAATATTCTAGCAATAAGAGGCTGAACGGCTACAGGACCATCTAGTGAAGGATCTCAACGCTTTTTACAACAATGAATGAGGTTAGCCTCGTAATGCCCAAGAGGGTATATTAGCAGCCCCATTTTAGCCACGAAGAAAGCGAGGCACAGATGATTAAGTGACTGGCTAAATATGTCACTAGAAGTTTGTGGGAGGCCCTGTGAGGCTAAATTCTACCTTGACTATCCCCTGAGCGAGACACCTGAAAGCAGCGGGGTTGTAGGCGAACTCCATTAGGACACAATGAGACCAGTGATAAAGAGGCGCAAATCCAATCCTTTCTCCAACATGACCCAATATACGACTCTACAGATGTAAATGCTATGAACTCCCAGAGGGCCTGATCCTGAGTGGAGTGGAACAGCTGAATCTCCTAGTGACTGACTGCTCTGGGATGAAAGGTGTTGGGTTAAAACAACAAAACCTCAGTCTCTGGGTGCTGCTCAGGAGACTGACTAGAGACACATGCTGAGTCTGCTCTCACTGAAGTCAAAGGAGATTTTGCCACTGACATCAGCAGCATGAGCAGGTCCAGTAATGAGCAAATCCTACATGGCTTGAACGGGCCGTGAAAAATGTGGCTGGATAAGCTTGTCCTATCGCTTTGGTCTGGAGGAATAGGTTCTCTGGGGAGGTTCTAGCCTGCCCTCCTTTTCTCAGGCTTGTCACAGAACAATAAAAGCTATGCCCTGTGTCCTGAGCTATTTCAGTTGTCTCCCTGTCGTGATTAGGGAGGGAAGAGGGGCAAGACTAGTAAATCCCACTGTTGTTAAACCCGTTTTGGGACTCAGAGCTAAACTGCATGGAGATTCTTGTAGGGTGGGACCTGGTTTTCCTGTTCTTCAATGTGTATCCCAGAACTCAAGATGATGAAGGGCTTGCTAGACCAGCCTTCCCCATGCAGTACTGGTCCCTTCCATTTATATGTAGTGCACTGTCTGGTCTAGTTCTCAACAGCCAGGTGATGGGCCTCCCTCACGAGACTACTGAGTAGTTTACTTCATTTCACTGAGAGGAAGGGTGCTGGTGTTCTGGATGTCCAGCCAAACCATGATCTTTATAGATGCAGCCCCACATGAGATTCCCCTTCACTGGCCTCGCCATTTAATTCTGGACAAACAATTCTGGGTTCCATATTGACAAAGTGCTAGTGCCCTTCAGAATCAGATGCTCTGGAGAATTTGCATAGCTGCATTTTTTCCCTTCTCCATTCCTCAGCTGTTCTGATTACCAGCTGGTGTAGTGCTGGGTTCCTTATTAATCAACTCCGAGGTTCTGCTGACACTGCAAGACACAGCTGAAATGTAACTTTGCCCCATCCTGCCATAGCAGAGCAGGGCAGATATTCTCTGAATCAGGGAATACTCAGGCAGACGGCTAAGTTAAGGTACAGACAGACTAAATGTCCTTGTTTTTTATCACCAACGCAGGCCATTAAATACTAGATTTAAAATATGTGTTTAGCCTCCTTTGTGTTTTTAAAACACACGTCTTTTCCTTGACATAGTAATACACAGCCTTTGTGAGGTTCATGACATGACATAATGTTCACTGACTCATATGGCCATCATTATTCAAAAATAAAAAACAAAATGCAAAACACATCTGGACATAATCGCTAGACTGAGGTTTAGTGGGAGTGCCCATGATATAACAGCAATAGCACTTAGCACCTTTCATCTAAAGATCACAGTGTACCACAGGACCTCAAACATCTTGCTCGTTTTGTCTGTCTAGCAAGCACCATCTCTTCCTTTAGCATTAGAAAGCACCTCACCGCAGGAGTAATTTTAATCAACAATAAGGAGGTGCAGAGAAATGAAGGGACTGCCCCAAGGTCCCACAGTGAGTTGGTGGCAGAGCCAGCAATACAAACCAGGTCTCCTGACTCCCTGTTCTGTGCCCTACCACTGGACACTGCTTAGAGCTATAATCATTCTAGCCAAGGAGTAAACTGAGGGGTTGCCTCTGAGCAACACAAGGCACTTGTGCTGGCTCGCAGAGGGGCTTGGCTGTGGTGCTGCTCTACCATTCCCAACTTTCGCTACCCAGGGACACAAGTTTGCAAACTGAGGTCTTCCACATGGCAGCGCAATGCATTATCACTCATCATCATTAAAAACGACTCGGTTAGCTTGAAAGTGAGTCCTATAATATGGGAGGACTTTGAAAACTGCTTAATTTTAAGATCTGGTGACCTTGAGTGTATCCCTTTAATAACAGAGTGTATTTGGGAAAAATCATCTTCATATATATATATACCTCAGCCTGTATGCTACACTGTGAAAAGGGGGGAATGCAAACAGATTATGCAGAGTTCAAAGAGACAGCATATCCCTGCCTTTGAAATGCTCAATCATTTCTGTTTCATCTGACAACCCATTTTAATGAACTAGCAAGGAAGAGAAACATAAAATTACCCTCTGAGCTGAAGATGGCATGGAGCAGAATTCTCTAAAAATGCTGTAGCTTTTGGCAACTGTAACCCAGAGGTACAGTGTAAAAAACAGCATTAAAGCAGGAGGAAGTTGTGGTGGGATTTATTGGTTATTTTATTTTAATATTTGTCACTATACACAACTGACATCTCTATTCTGGGTTTGTTTTTCCTTCTGATCTTTTTTAATCAGATGCTCTTAGGTGACATTTTACTTTATCTAGTAATGACCCATTGGAGACTGATCTTCATTGTTTGTTTGCTGCTGTACAGAGCTCAAGAGAATAGTACATTACAGCTAGCTTGGAATAGCCACTTGTATTTTGTCTGCAGTTCTTGAGGATTTAAAATACCACAGCTAGCTTCTACCATCTCTTGTTTTTAAATAGTGCCTTTCACTGTGATACCTAAAGCTTTCATTTCCCATCATAAATAGCCAAGATGTGAAAGAAATTTGAACCCGTTTCCTCGTTTCTCCTTGTACCAATATACCATGGGTGTATATTTCCCTTACTAAAATATGGGCTTATTGTTGACTTGCTGAGTCTAGGCTCTGACTAAGGAAACTATATGGAGTGACAGTAGCATTGTAAACTCAGGTAGGTATACTATGGGAGCTCAAGAACTGGGGAGAGGCACTGAGACCTCAGTTTGTGCCCAGTACCCCAAGTAAAACATCTTTGCATTAGTTACACCAGAGACTTGCCTCCTCTATGCCCCCTGACACCACTGGAAAGGGGTGAAAGTGGCACTGGGTAAGTAAAGGAGCTTAGTTTGGCTTTATTACGCAAAATGATCCAGACACAGGGTAGCAACTGAGTCTGCTTTGTACTATGACTGCAACTGTAGTGATCCACAGAAAGAGAGGAGTGTCAATAAAAAAGCTATACAATAAAGTGGCGTAATCTGTTTAGTTTATCTAAGAGAAGATCTAGAGGTGACTCCCTCATGGTCTCCAAGTACCTACATGGGATAGAGATTTCTGATAGTAGAAAATTCGTTCATCTACCAGAGAAAGGCATAATGAGATCCAATGGTTGACAGGTGACTCTAGAAAAATTCAGATTAGAAAGAAGGCACAAATTTTACCAGTGAGGGTACTTAGCCACTGGAACAACTTATTTAGGGACCTGGTGGATTCTCCATCACTGGCAATATTTAAGTCAGGACTGCATGTCTTTCTGAAAGATATGCTATAGGTCAAACGAAAGTTACGGGCCCAATGCAGGGACTCTTGAGTGTAATTGGTTGGCCTACGCTACGCAAGAGGTCAGAGGAGATGATCTATCATTTGTGTTTCATCTTACAACCCATTTTAAGGACCTAGCAAGGAAGAGAAACAGAAAATTACCATCTGAGTTGAAGATGGCAGAGAGCAGAGCTATGGTTCTTTCTTATCTTAAAAATCTACTGATCTGATTTTTGAAGGTGCTTGTTTTGATAATTTCAAAATGTTTCTTTACAACTTTGACCTTTAATTTTTTTAACCTGTTTTTTTTAGTATAAATTAATTAAAATAACCAAGAAAAAATAAATAATGAAAGAAATTACCTAGAAGAGTTTCAAAACTTTTTTTTTTTCAGTTTTTTTTTTCCCCCCGGAATTGGGAGAGTTGTCACACTTGACCCTTTATCATGAACAGGCTTGGTTTTGACACACTGGCATTTTCCAAGAAAAAACACGTTTTGTCAGAAAATTCCTGACCAGGTCTATGATTTAGTTGCCGAGCTTTAGGCCTTTAAGTTTAAGTCATTCAATCCAATTAAAACAGACTTAGTGCTTGGAATCTCCCATCGCCGTGGGCGAGGGAAGCATTATGATCCCCACTTTGTAGATGGAAGAAACTGTTGCATGAAAGGTCAATTTCTACCCGGTCGTGGTAGGCACAGAGCGCTCACTTGGGGTGGAACTGGTGTGGCTTCAGTGTGGAGGAGGGGCAGAGACAGGATGCAGTGAGTTTGTACAGGGACTGTGCACCTGCACTGCAGAGCCCAGCTCCATTTGGCCACATGGAGGAGGATGGAGCAGTGGCAGGCCCGGTCCGGAGATCTGTCACTATGTCGACCCCCTCGGCCTCCCCCATTTCCTCGAGGCAGAAGTGTTAGGGCCATAGGGGCTGCAGTAGGCTCGGTGGGATCTGAGAGCACTGCAGCACTACCCTACAGAGATTCCCAGCATCCAGCCTGGGCTCTGGGGAGAGGATTTCCCCCCACGTGACACTGCACAGAACCCAGAGCTCCTTAATCCCAGTCCTGTGCATGAACTCCAAGGCCGTTTCCGTTTTTAACCCCCGACAGAGAAAAATAAGGTGGTTCTTGTTGGGGAAAAAAGGGTTGGCCCCGTTTTAAAGCTGACGGGATGGGCAGAATGCACTCCTGATCGATCAGATTTGGCAGGCCGGAAGAGTCAAGCCTTGTGGGTGTGTGGAGGATCCTCACCTGGGGAAGTTACTTTAGAATACACAGCAGCCTACTTCATTCCACGGCCAAAACAATACAGATCAGCCTCTGCCTCCGACAGTGTGCCGAGGAAAGCCAACAGCTGAGCTGGGCTACCCTTCCCCTGCAACCAACGCTACAGCCAACAAGCCCCAGGTATCAGAGCCCCAGTGCTCATGAGACCAAGAGCAGTATAGTTAATGAAATGATGACTGATTCCAGCCCCCGGGCCCCCGCAGACAGAGCTGTACGAGCGCCCGCAATTACTCGGTAATTCAACAAGACGAAAGGGAAAAAGAAGCAAAATTGGATTCAGGTGCTGCAGCTTTGCAATATGCCAGAGGTCACGAAGCATCCCCTGCTGGCCAATAACATTGAACTTGTTCAACAAACAATTTAGTGACAGCCCCACAGTCACAGGCAAAAAGTGCAGCACAAGAGAGTATTGGATTTTAAATGTCACTCTGGAGCTGCAGGGGGATAACTAAGCTAAGCTGAACCTAGTGCAAGGTTTATGGCATGCTGGATATTTCCGAGCTGGGGGATGCTCAAACTCAGCATTAGGTCTCCAACCTCCCATCCCTGCAAGGCAAGTACAGCCCAACATTATGGAAGGAGATTCTGGGATCCTGTTATGTGCTCCGAAGATAAAATGCAGTGTCTGTGAAGGGTTACTTGCCTGGTTCTTCTCTATTATTCACCCTTCTCCGAGAAGGGAACTGATTCTGATCTGTTAGGCCATTACAGTGATGTGAATCAGAAGTCGCTCCACTGGCGGCGTGGAGTAACTCAGAATTTACATTGGTGTAACTCAGGGAAGTATCTGGCCCACTGAGATCTGGAATCCAAGGAGTCAGAGAAGGGGAAGATCTGTTACACAATCTAGTTGATACCACTGGAACTAATGCAGCGTTGTCTGCAACAGTATATTTTCCCGTGCCTTGCCCAGACTAGTTTTAAATGAGCCCAGTGATGGGACGTCCACCACACACCTTGGAAGGCCATTGCACTGTTTAACCAGTCTAACTTGCAGGAAGTTTGTCCTATCCACTGGAGAGTGCTGGCTCTGAGTTTGTGCTGGGCTATTCCTAGCAGGAAGAGAGCAGTAGGCAAGACACTTGGGTTTTAAGTGACTTCTGTTTTCAAGGTGCTAATCCCATTTTGTGCATGCAGTATCGGCCACCAAAAATGAACTACAAGCATCCTGATTTAGGCCTGAATTAGTGTACAGTGACTTGGGACAAAATCAAGCCAAGTAAAATTTAAGCTGTCAGGAATAGCTTTCTTATGGAGAGATCTTTTACACTGTGGAGTAATCTCCTAAGGGAAGTAATGGGAGTTCTTTTGCTTTTAAAACCAAACTGGACAAAGCACTAGAAAATATATTGTAGAAAACAATTCTGTCTTGGGCCATGAGTGGATGATCCAACAGGTGTTTTCTATCAGCTCTGATTCCTTGGTTTAGGGAGCTAGCATGTGATCTGTGGTAACATCACATTTTTTTAAAGAAAGAAAAACAGTACAGATTAGTTTTGTTCAGCAATCACCAACAAGTATCACAGAAAGGACCCACGGCTGATAAAATTATTTAGTCACATTTCATTACTGAAGTGGGGGAGGGACAGCAGCTACTTGCAGGCTGACTTTCACTCAGGTCCCTTGAGCATCTGCAATAGCAGATTGATTTTAATTTCTACAGTGAATACTGCACCTGGATCCCATGGTGACAAGTGCCATGCCGGTGCCTAAAATAGACAGACTACATAGTCACATTGCTCACCTTGCTATTGTCCCACTCTTGGGTTTTCATCTGCGTGTGGATAAGCTCATATGATGGCTCCATTGCATCTGTATCTGGCTTGGGATATCCAGGGATAACATTGTGTAGTTGGAAACCAAAGGTTAGCAGCCAGCTGTTGACATCTGGGATGTGAGAGAAGCATAAGTAGGATTTTATTGTTATTTGTACTGCAGTAGAGCCTAAAAGTCCCAGCCACTGACCAGGACCCCATTGTGCGAGGCGCTGTACAAACCCAGGACAAGACGACAGCCCTGGCCCCAAAGAGCTTACTACATTTCATGCATATGAGTAACACCATCAGAAATGATTATTTAAAGTATCACATTCCAAAACTATGGAGGATGAAGGAAATTACCAGAAAACCAAACAGCATCCAGGCCAAGTCCTCCACTTTTCCACACAGCTGAAATATACATTTTGTTAAAAATGTTAAAGGCCAAAGCAATCTTTCTGGCTCCAAAACTTCTCAGAGTTTGTAAGGCATCATGTCCAAGAATGGTGCTACGCAGAGCAAAAAGCACAGGAACAAGAATATAATAACAAAGGTCGAGCTGCCTAAGGATTCAGATGCTCTAGGTGGCTTTGAAAAATCTCAGCTTTAATGTTGGTCACCCGGAAGCGTCCCAAGTGGTTTATAGGCTATGGGATAAATTGAGGTGCTCATGAGACAGGACATAGAGGTAGGGAGTAGCAGGGCAGAAGTACTGGGCACTTGGGGCAGGATCTGAGCGGGGGCTCATGATATACCTCTTAAAGATGTATCCACTGCTTGTGTAGGTAAAAGCCAAATTTTAATTTAGCATAGGTAGGTTCCTATAGTAACATTTTTTTTTCAGTATTGTTTAAAAACAGCCTCCACATGATCATTCCATTTGCACACATTGGGTCTGCCACAGTCAAACTGACCTGCCCTTACATCGTGAGCAGCGCCATGTATATGATGGTCAAACTCAGTGGCGTACCGTTCAGGAAGCTCTTTTATTCTGTACTATGATAGAGGGGGAATGTTGGAACCAGAAGGGAAGTGATAGGAAGCCCATTGCTTGGGAAGCTGAAAATTATACTGGAGAACATGCTACTAGATGAACCACAGGGAACAGTCCTACTTGGGCAGGAAGACGGACTCAATACCCTGGTAAGTCTTTTAAGGCTCTAACGTCTTCGATTCCAAGGCTAATAGGAAAGACAGCCGAGTGAGTAGCTAGCTGGAGAAAATAATAACTCACTTGGCTAGCTCCTGGATCTGCCTGGCAGCAGCATATAAAAGACTTCCCTATTTATCTACTTCAGAGCATATGATGATTCTAACCTCGCTTATCTCTGTCGACTCCAGAAGGAAGGAAGGAAAAACGGACACTACTATAATCACCAATAACCTACCCGTCATTTATCCAGCCTCTGAATACCATCCTTTGCTGGGAAAAGCTGAGGGGATGAGGGTCAAAGTTTAATTAACTATCAGCTCCCAAGGGGTTTAGGACTTCCATATTGTAATTAGCATCGTGTTGGTGATTCATTCATTTCAAGCTCCAGTGTATCAACAAGAGGTTTGCTGTTCATTTCATCAAATTGAGTTGACACTAGTGGGACATTCTGGATGAGGGGATTTGTTCAAAAAACATGGCTTTTTCCCCGCATGAGTTTAAATGTGTGTTTTTGAAGAGACCGTTGGAAAAGCATTAGGGATGGAAATGACAAATAATGTGCTTCCAGATGATTGGAGAATCAAAAGCCAAACAAACACACTATCTATTGCTTGTTTTCTTGCAATCCAAAATGTTGAGTTTGGGCGTGGGTCCAGAAAGCCCTTGGATTGATCTGTGTGGAAAGAGGGATTGCTGTAATAAAAACACTTCTCTCACCCCACAGACTGTTTTAGAAGCGTCTTTGGAAGGAAGGGGAGGTGTGTGCTTGGGGGGGGGGAAATAAAGCTTTGTTTGATTATTTTTTTCTTTGGTGATGAGGCATCCCTGTTTCCAAAGTGTGAAATGAACAGCTTTGATATGCATATTCTGGACCAGGTGGCCAGGAGAACAAAGTAAATCTATATAGGGCAGAAGTTATTCACCAAACATGTTCAAAACAGTGTCAAAAGGGGCACAGAGTGGGTTGCTGAACAGCAGGAAAATATGTAACGTCTGAAAAGATTCGATCCAGTCTTTGTTGGTTGCTTCTCACAAATCTGACTTTGAAAACATCTGTAAACAGGATTTTCTCTTTTTTTTGGGTGGGTGGAGAGAGTCAGTTGGAAGGAACAGGAAAAAATAAGTAGGTGGAAGGAGAGGTTAAGAGAATGGGGGGAAATATTAATTTGCCAATGGCAATGACACCTTTTTTTCTTTTTGAAAGAAAAGTACATTTCGCATCACAGTTTTTTTCAGCAACAGTAGCCCTGCCAACACATTTCACAGCACATTCATTTGAGGGCACTGAAAGAGACTGCTTAATGCAGACACGTGTAATGGAAATGTCAGTTCAATCCATCAGGCTTCCCGATGTTGGCAGCAAAGCTCTGCGTCACGAAGTGTACGATTGCTAAAATATTCACGTTGAACAATGGGCCTCTCAGAATGTAAATACCTGCTTCGCCCACTCTCCCTGCCGCACGCTCCCAATTCCTACACACGAGCTTGGAAATCATTTACTGGGAGACTGAGGCTGGTCTACTCTGAAAATAGTGTAGCTACGTCTCTCCGGGATGTGAGAAATCCATAACCCTGAGAGATGCAGCTATGCTGCCCGAACCCACGGTATAGACAGCATTATAGCTAACTACTGCCTTCCAGGCAGATGAATTAACTACAGTGACAGGGGGAATCCCTCCCATCACTGTCGTGAGTGTCTACACTGAAGTACTATAGTGGCGCAGCTGTAGCATTTTAAGTTTAGACACAGCCTGAGGCTTGTATCATTGGTCTGCGTGCGTGCACCTGCATGGCCTCAGTGAGCCAGAGCATGCGAAGGGGTGAGGAAGGACGCTGCCCCCCCCCAGTATATTGGCAGGTGTGAGCGCAATGGCTAAGGAATCCACATCATATGCGATGTGCAGCGCAGAAACCTGGGAACGTCAATGAGAGCTCTGTATGGACGGATGTGCAGGGTTGGACCCACTAATAGTCAGAATCCTTTCGGAGCTGTCAGACATCGCAGAGGACTCAAACAAGGCTCTGACATTCCTGTCCATCATGCTGTTTGCGGAGCGGCTCCCTGGTTTTGTTTCATGACTTAACTTTTTTATGAGGATAGGTTGTTGGACTATTGTTCAGCCCCCCCGCTCTGGAGGATGAAAATTGGAAGCTTCATGCCATGGACACACCTTTGCTGCTCTAAAAGGTACTGAAACATGAGAGCTTAAAATCTTGGCATTAACGTTAATGCCAACTCTCACGATTTTTTCATGAGTCTTGGAATATGTGGTGGTGTTCTTAAAGCCCCAACCCCTGGAGTCAGGTGATTGCTTGAAAAGCTCAGCTTTCATTTCAAAACAACAACCATAAGCTTCTAGCCCTCATGGTTGTGGGGAAAAGCTTGAAGACATGTATCCTAAAGGCTCTAAAAAGAATCTAGAATTTTCTATTTTTAAAATCTCACGATTTTAAGTTCACTAATGATTTTAAAGGTTGGACTCCTGATTTTTGAATGCTGGGGTAGCCAATACTGTTACTGTATACGGAAAAGCAGATTTAGGTCTTTTTAGAGGTTTTTAAAATTAATTATAATTTGCCTCTCCCTAAGAGTTGTATACAGTTGACTCATGGTAACTGAGTCACCTTTTTTTTTTTATAGACAAGAAGATACAGAAAAGAGTCCTGATACAATATTTTAAAACCCTTTAAAACAGCTTTCCTGTCAAATATGTGGCACATGCAGAATACACAACAGTGTGGTTGTTAAAAAGGTTTGGTCTGTGCTCATTTGGAATGGCCTACACAAACACACACACACAGAATATATATTAGAGAAGTAAGCTCGTTAATTCCATCTGATGAAATCATATGATCATTAGCTGTGAGTGACTCAGGTCTCCTAGAATCTTTCCTGCTGAAATAAATTCACTTTGGGGAGCCATTCTTCTCACTTTTAAACACCTGCTTAGTGGATCTGTTCTGCTTATTGACATTAAGAAAGTCCTTAATCTTTCCATATTTAGATATGAAATTTAAGACACACAATACTTGTTTTTGCTGGCTTTTAACAGGCAATTGTTTACTCTGTGGGGTGGATTAACTGTATTGCTATTTTAAGGGGCTCTATAATGCCTTGCTATGATAAAAGGTTTAGGTTGCTGTTGCCATTTTGCTGAAACAAGCCTATATGCAGCTTATAAACGCAAGCAAGTCTCTACCGCAAAACTGTGTTAACAAAAGTTATCCATATACAAATGAGAGGGGTTATCGAGACGTTGATCAGAAACTAAGCTGGCATTGTTTGAGGAAATGAACAATCGGAAACAAAATAAAGGGAAACATAAAAAGAGCAGGAAGGAAGAAAAAAAGAAAACCTGTTGGGTAGATTAGCAGTTCTTGGCTTAAATTTTTCATGAGTACTGTGTATGCAGCCAGCGATCCAGCTGTGGAAGGGTTAAAGGTGACCTGCAAAGGAAAAATATATTGGGCTTGTGCCCTCTTTTGTTTATTTATGTGCAAAGAAGAACAGAAAAGTTTGGTGTGTGTTTCTGTTTTTTTAAATTCTGTTTGTTGTTTTACATTAGAAATTCAGTCCGGTTTCTAGTCTGGAAGACTCTATTGCATTTTCTTTTCCTTTCTAAAGAGAAATTCAGTCCCTGTCTAGGCTGGAAGACCCTACAATGGATGGATCGTTGAAGGAGAAGAAACCTATCCACCACCTGAGCAAAAACCAGCTTGTGTATACACTAATTAAAAACGAACCAAGAGAAGTCTTACCTGTCATGTAACATTTGATATCCTGAGCGTTGCTAATAGGGTTGTTGTTTTTGAACATATAAAGGTTGAAAGGCATTATGTTGTTGCTGCTCAGATGTTTCCACATATCATGATCTGGGCTTGTCCATCGCCCAGCTAACACATCATAGTCTCGCCGCCCCATGTGGATGAGCTTAGTGAGGGGGTCGTACAGACCTCCATGGTATCCGATGATGACCTGGAAATTGGGATTGGTGTCCATGTAGATCTCCCCGTATGCTGTGTACAGTATCTGCTTGATCATTAAGCCCGTCCCGCTGAAGACTGCCAGAGGGGTCCCGATGTTATCACAGGCTATGTAGAACTCATCTCCGCTGCTGAGCTCCATTGCAAAGAGGTGGCCTTGGAGATCATAGTAGAGGGAGGTGATCTCGGAACTGGAATGGTTGTACAAATGGGTGACCTTAGTGGGGTTGGTCAGGTCTGCATAGAAGAACTGTAAATGGTGGCCATGGGCAGTTTTGCTAGAAACTCTTCTTCCGAGGCCATCATAACGATATTTCACGCTCCAGCCGCTCGCTTTATTGTACGTTTTAATGAGCAGGCCTGCTGAGTTGTACTCAAAAATGTCATTCCCCCTTTGTCTCAGGAAGCCATCTTCGTCCATTTTGTACTGCACATCCCCCAATCTCGTAATCCTGTCCCTCAGGTCATACCTTAGTGGGGTGAGACGGGCACTGTTCCCAGGACTCAACAAATGGAGGTTTCCATTGAGGTCATAACTGTAACGCCAGAGCGGTTTGTCATTGATAGACACTGTCTGCAGTTGGCCATCAGCATCGTACTCATAAGAGTACCTCGTTGTGTTTGCATACGGTCCGACCTTCAGTTCCTTCTTCACCACTCTCCCCATGTTGTCATACTGCACAGTCATCCAGTACATGAGCGACCTGAATATTTCATACTGGACCTCCTTCATCCTGCCATAGGCGTCAAAGTGCTTAGTGTGAGTCATGACAGCGGTGGTGATAATCTGATTGATGTCGTAGTAGATGACCCCAAATTTACCAAACTGCTCCGTTTTGCCTGACACATCATCGTATCTGTAGAGATCGATGGGTAACGGTGTCTCGTTGATCACTGCTTGCATGCTGGTCACTCTGAAGCTGTTATCATAATTGTAGTCAAAGCGTGCGTTCACCATGCCTTCCTCAGTGAAGCGGAAAATCTGACGGTCAATGAGTGGGCCTATCTGCCTGTATCTGATAGTACAGGTGAACCCTTCATTTTGCAGGTTTATTGTCTTCAACATGCCAGCAGTTTCATCATAGGTGAAACCAATCTTAGTAGTATCATAGAGCATTTCGGCTAGCTTGGACAGCTTGCCATACTTGTATAGGACACGCCTCCCTGTCCCCAAGTAGAAGGTGTGAAGGAGCTGCCCTTCCTCAGTGAAATCCTGAATGACGGAGGCATTGCCCTCTGGAGGCCGGTAGATGTTCCTGTAGTATCCGATGGACCGGATGGTTTCTAAGGTCTGCCGGGCGACATTAGGCATGGTGACGGATGACAATCGATCATTCTTATCAAACTCAAAGATGTACTGTCTCTGGCTGTGGAGGAGTAGCACCATGGACTAGAATTGGAGGGGAAAATGAATGAATTATTTTCTTAGTTTTAAGGCATGATCATTCTAAATTTTTCAGAGAGGAAACTATTTCAGGACATGGGTTGTCTAGCCTCCACCTCGTAGTGCATACGTGGCCAGCATAATTTAAGTGACCTGCAGACCTCACAGAGGGACTAATATGTGGCCAATTGCCATCTGGACACTTTACTTGGTTGATCCTCTCCTTTCCCCTCCCCTCTGTCCCTGTTTTATACTGTTCAGCGTCAGCTCTTCGTGATGGGATTTCTACCTTATTTGGTGTCTGTACAATACCCAGCACTTAAGACACTGGGGGTGGGCACCAGAAGAAAAAATAATTATAACAATAACCTTAAGTAGCGAGAGGTACACACACAGCGAGAGACTCACTTCAGTGTGAGCAGATGTGGTCAGAAGAGAATGAGGAAGGGTAACAGGTACTGGTGTAAGGTTTGGACTAAAGGCACAGAACCAGGGACCCCTTGTTAGGATTGATTCAAAAATACCCCAGCCAACTCTCCCAAGTTCACTTCCCCATTTGCCACCATGGGGCAAACAGCTTGACAAAACCAAACTGGCAACCCTTGTCTGTCTGCCGACAAAAGAAACTCATCTGCTACTAGCCACTTATCGCAAATTTTTTAACCCAGTTCCCTAACTCACTTGCACGTAATGCACATACCGGAATACAGTTTGATGCTTTATCCTCATTTATTATTTATATCATTGTAGAGCCCAAATGCAGGACCTCACTGTCCTAGGTGCTGTACAAACACATAGGCAGATACAATTCCTGCCCTAAAGAGCTCACAGATGGATTAAAAGGAGGATGGATGATATTATGGTTAAATCTCCTACTGATCCCTGCAGCGAAGAAAAAGGCATTTCCCACCACCAAAGAGCATTATATAACCGGCTAGGTGGATTGGTCTCTCTCCTTCCCCACCTGCCCCTGCCACACTTACTTCCTATGGATCTTTGCAGAAGGCAGGATGCTAGACTTTATGGACTGTTGGTTCTACATTGTGTGGAACATCCAAAATAAGTCCCTACCGTACTCTTATCTTTATTAGCACTCATGGTATCTGTAACTTGACTAGAATGGAATTTGTCTTTACTGGAAGCATTTTATTACATCCAGCCCAGCAAAGGACTATTGCATCTAAATAATCAAAGCTTTGGAGGGTCAAAACACATGCAGAGAGGGGTGGGGTTGGGAGGATAATATTGCCCTTTGGGGATACTCGGTGCTAACTTTAGCTGTCATCTGGGCTTAGTTTCTACAGTTATATTCACCTTAAAATAGGTAGATTACATAGATCTGTGTATTAGACTCTAAGGGTCAGATCCTCCATTGGTGTAAATCATTGTCACACCACTGAAGTCAAAGAAGTGAAGTCAATTTATGCCAGCTGAGAATCTAGCCCTAAGTTAGCAAACACAGTGAGTAGCCATCAGTAAGGGACAAGAGGACATATACCTTCTCTAAGTAAGTGTAGCTCCATGATTTTCCATCAGCAAAGATCCTGGATATAATTCTGCCAGCCTGATCGTATTCCATCCTTTCTGACATAGTTCCCCTCTGGATCCCTGCAATGTGTCCCCCTGGGGAATAAGTCACGTTAACTCCATTCAACCTGCTGCTAGGAGACCAGAGGCTAGGTCTGCCTGCTTGGTCATACAGGATCCGTAGAGTGAACTTGCGATGGTCATCGTAGATTTTTTCTGTTCTTGTCACACGATCAAAGTCGAGGGACAGCAGGTTTCTGTTGTGAACCTAGAGGGCAGACGAAGAAAGAGAATTAGAAAGGCACAAATGGTTTTATGTGGCAAATTTTAGCCCCTCCCCCACCAAACACTCCTTTGGATCAATCCCAGTACTACACAGACCTATGCATTAATTGTCTTAGGGCGAGATTTTCAAAAATATTCACTGTTGGCCTAACTCTGCTTCCACTCAAGTCAACTGGAGTTGTAACTAGTGACTTCAGTGGGTGCACAGTTAGGACAGTGTTGGATGTACCGCAAAACCATCACACATCCTTTGCTCACAAGGGGCCTAGAACTACTGCAGCAGAGATGACGTCAATCTGCATGAAGATATGCTGATACAACTTTGTTGGGGAAGCTTGCAAGGTGCTTGCCTGAACTGTGCTGGAGTCATCCAAGTCCCTTGCTTTCATGGATGTCAGAGTTCACACATTTAAAAAAGGACATGGTATTGAGTTGTGGTTGCAAACGCTGCAAGGAACAGTGTGGACGATTCATCAGGTACAACTCGTCTCTGGAGTCAGTCCTGAATCAACTGGTGGTACAGGCTTTCCTATGAAATGTAATATGGAGGCCCTGATCATCTGTAGTCATTAAAGACCTCATGACCCTATTGCCAACAAGAGTGGGGATTGTTAACCCCAATGTCCTGGCCAATCCCACCATGGGTAATTATATTCCTGTTGCTTCAATTCCCTTTGCACTTTCAGTTGAAGGCCAGATCATATATATTTCAAAGGTAAAAGGAGAAATGTATTTTTGTTCAGAGACCGTATCCCAAAGAACTACAGATAATAACAGATAATACACTACTGTTTAGCTATGTGTGTCTACGAATTTATAAAGCCACATTACTGTTGTATCTAAGCATTGTGCAAAACCAAAAAATACGCACATTGAGAGCTGGATGGTAGGGACAATTTTCCATCCTACTCTGGATAAAATCAGGACTCCTAAATTGAATGAGATGTGGTTCTCAGCCCTGACCTAAGTTTGATCTGGGACTGTTACTTTTCAGTACACTTCTGAATTCCCTGTGGTTCTGTTTTTGGGAGGGAAAACAGAGTTAAATAGCTAACAGTAGAGGGAAGAGAAATTATTTTGTCTAGGCAAAAGGAGACAAGATACAGTTTGTCAATCAAAATTTGAAATGCAGGAGTGAGAACTACAGGAAGGCTGTTCCAAACAGTGAGAGAGCGCACAAGCAGGAACAATACTGCATGGCATTAAGCAGAGAAGGCCAGTGCCAGAGAGGACAGAGACTATGAAGCAGGCTGGAGATAAGTCTATGGATGGTTCTTAGAAGCAGAAGGGCAGTTTTAAAGTGGATCGTGAAATGCACAGGGTAGAGAAGAGTTGACTGAAGAAGGAAATGATGTAATGGTGCTTTTGTGTGAGAAGGTGGGGGGGTGTTCTGCACATGATGGAGTGTGGAGAACTGGGACTCAGGGAGGGCAAAGGAGAGACTCTCAGTAGCTGAGGTGAGAGAAAGTAAAAGGCATGGATGGGCAAAGATGGAACTGAGGCAGGAGTGTGCATGTGCGGGCGGAAGATGAAGATCTACAGATAAAGAAGATATAGGAGGAAGAGGAAGAGAGGGCAGTGTTGATGATAACACCAAGGTGATGGATAACAAAGGTAATGGAGGGTCTGACTTGAGGAAAAGAAAAGGCTAATGTGGAACCAAGGTAGATAATGCTACAATTAAACGTGCAGCAGTGTTGAAAACAGACTGTAAATGGGTAATGGGAGAAACGGGAAATCAGCCAAAAGCCCAGCCTCCGCTTCCCGCAGCTCCCATTGGCCAGGAATGGTGAACCGTGGCCACTGGGAACTGTGGGCAGCTGTGCCTGAGGCTGGTCAATGTAAACACTTGCATCTGAAGAAGTGAGGTTCTTACCCACGAAAGCTTATGCTCCCAATACTTCTGTTAGTCTTAAAGATGCCACAGGACCCTCTGTTGCAATGTAAACACTGTCTCGCGGCCCCCCCCCCCAGTGGATTACCCTAACTACCTTGACGGGCCACGTGCGGTCAGTGGGCCGCAGGTTGCCCACCAGTGCCGTAAGTCTTTACACAGGCAACATCCCATTAGCTTCAATGGGAGTTTGCCCAAGTAAGGACCAAATACGGACCTCTAGATCTGGCCCAGTAACAATATGTTATTTCCTTAGATTTATAAATCTAAATCTTGTGCCAACCCTCTGTCCTGTGAGCTTGACCCTGAACGATACTGAATGCTGTGGCGCACCAACGCACTTGACCGTGGGACAGATTTTTAAAGGTATTAAGGCAACTAACTCTTATTTAAATCAATGGGAGTTCGTCACACAACTACCTTTAAAAACTGGTGCCATGTACTTAACCAGAGTCTTCAGGACTGAGATCTAGGTGGGCAGCCCCTAAATTTTAATCCAAAATATACTCTTCCCACCTTTATACGTAATTAAATATCCTCCAGTTAATGTGAGGGACACTAACATAAACCCCAGGCTCGCAGCCCAGAATAGATCAATAAAACAGGTGAGCCTGCTTTGGAATTGCAGTGTCACTCATTACCAGCATTTACTTCTAACCTTCTTTTTGGGCTCCCGTAGCTAAAAATATTGTCAAAATAATGCGCATCAACATCCTCTGGGGCCAGCCTTTGCATGCGAGTTATAAAGCCCTGAAAATGAGGATTCATAATGAAAACGCAGAGGCAACCTTAACTATAAGAGTACAAATGGCACGTCTGTAATCAGAGCTCCATCCCCAGGGGTTGACTGAACACAGTTGCACAGAGAAAAAATATTGCTTGCATGGAATTCCCATGGCAAATAAGCTGTGGTTATCGGTGTGTCTGAGTCTGGGCTGGTTCTCTGTATAAATATTCTGGGGACGAGGTCAGAATGCTTTAATTGTTCGGTAATGGTTAGTAACATCATCTCCGAGATCTCTGCACTAACGCAGGCTGTGATGGGAGGTAGTGTTGTGACAACTAATGTTTCCGTGGCTGCTATCTTGCAGCCAGCATCCTGGTGAATATGAGACTATTCTCAATGGGTGCTTCCCTGGTTAAATAAATAAAACGGATTAAGCAGACAGCTCTGTAATTGTCAGCCATCCCACGTGCTCCACCGCCAGAGATTATTTTACATCCTTCTTTATTAAAAAGTTCATGCTCGTAAAAAGAAAAAAAAATGAGCTACATTATCAGGAGCAGTGTTCTAGCTAACACTCCAATCTGGGACGGAGCCTGCGCACTGCCTTTTGTTATTGGCGGAGTGGAGTTTGCAGCCAGCCGACCAGCAAGGCCATCAATCTGTTGCGCCGATAGGGCCAATTAGAGCATGGAAGCTTTCATCGAGTCCGTGCAGGATATGTAAAGGTAAAGGTTTGCTGCAAGGGCTGCAACTGATGCAGCAAACAGTCAGGTCAGCAAAGCTGGAACTACGAAGAAGGCTGACAAACACTGTTACATGCAGTGGATCAGTGAAGCTGAAAATTAACACGTGTTAAGGGCCAAATCCTCTCCCCTGTGCAAAGCCTGAATATCCAGGATCCCCGATGGATAGATTCCTTAGCTCTTCCTTCCGCAGGCTTACAGAGGGGTAGATCAACTAGTCTGTGACTACTCTTGCACCATGCAGCCGGCACCCTCAATACGCTGGCTATGGCTCGTGGATCAACATATTATTTATTAATTATGTTTATTATGGTAGCACCAAGGGACCAACTAAGAAGGGGGCTGGACACTGTACAGAGAATCCCTACCCTCAAGCGCTTCCATCTAAGCAGATCAGACAAACAACAGGTAGACGACAGGGATGGAACGTACAAAGCAGAGCGATCAATGTGATGGCAGCAAACATGTTAGTGTCACATTTCCCGCCTCCCACCCCCACAACAGATCCACCAGCCACACACTTTCCTCTCCCACTTGTTGGCCTTTCATGAACAAAGGAAGAAAACAGAAGGACGGAAGCAGAGATTTAGGGGGTGTCTATGCATACAGCGCTGCAGCAGCCCAGCTGTACCGATGCAGCTGCGCCTGGTGAAGATGCTCTACGCCGACAGGAGAGAGCATAACAAAAAGAACTAGATAAGTTCCTGGAGGATAGGTCCATCAATGGCTATTAGCCAGGATGGGGAAGACATGGGTGAAAGCTGCTTTGAACCCCAAAAGGCTTTTACACAGCTGCAGGGTTTGCAAGCCTGTCTATCCTTAGAGTACAGCTTGTTTGGTAATTTCATTATGTATTACGTGGAAAAAGAATATTGGAGCCAACTGATCCACATGCACAAAAGCAGATTCTGATGAGGGGGGTTAAGATGCACATGCCCAGCTCCCAGTGACTTCTGCTTGCCAGAATGTTCTCTCTTGGTAATGAAGGAAACTGAACGGTCTGTGGTAATGTTCACGTTGGCGGACGAGGTCAGGGGTGGCTGAGCTTATACAGGCAGAGTGCGTGTTCATTTGAGTGAAGAGTAGAAATGACCCAGGAATGGCCGGGGGCACACAGCAGGAAAGAGGAGAGGATGAGAAGCAAGGAGCAGAACATTTATATTCTGAGACCCTGGGTGTTATTATTTACTGCCTAGCCCAAGTGTGCAGAAATAACTCGAATCCCAGCTCTCAAGTGACATTAACCAACACTTTGAGCATCACTCTCGGAAGGTCTGATCCTGCCAAGGGCTGAGCACTACCCCTTAGCTGCTCAGAGCCCTCGACTCCAGGAGTGGCAGCTCATACGGCAGTGTAGTCAATATTATTATTACAGCTTCATCAGCAATCAGCAACGGAATTACAGGCTTATGGGGGTAGATCTTTAAGAGGCTCTAACTAGCACATAAAATACATTGTCCTGTGCACAGCTGTGTTTTCCAAACATGTCATTTACAAGCACAGAAACTCTGCGCCCCCCCGAAAGGGAGAACAAGAGTTAGAAGATGGGCTTTTGGTGTGCGTGGCATTCTCCGTAGGTACACAAATGCACATTCCCAGCATCCCACAGACTCAGCTCCTCAGTGCAGTCAGCAGAGTGGCAAATTTAAGGAAATAGGAAGATTTTCAGAGCCTGCATGTTGAATGAACAATGAGGTTTACAAATTGCCCTTCCTCAGACTTATGTTCAATCCAAGTGACTAGTGCAACTGGAAAGACATGTGCAGCTTTGTGCACCTGCGTTCTCATCTGAGCACTTAACGTGCCCGTTATGTATGGTTTGGATGTGTGGCATTTCCCATAATACACAGGACCTGCAGGGGAACTTGCAGTGCTATCCATGACAGCTCAGTCAGGACATAGGGAGATATAATAAAGGCTGTCTCAGCCAGGGATACAGATAGAACTACAGGGTCTGTCCATCCTCCAGGCTCAATAAAAAATCCCCATTATATTCATTGCAACTGGGTCTTGCCCCTCTCTACCACGAGACTGAGTATGCCTGAAAGATAAAATCAAGTGTCGCCCCCGCTGCCTGTTGCTCACCCTCAGCCTGCGTCCAAAGACGGTAACCTGCCCTCTAGCTTGCTCCTTCCGCTGCCTCCACTCAACCAGATTGAGGCCATTGTCGATAGGCAGGGTCACGTTCCTCTTCCCCACCGTCGGGTTCACGGTGCCAGCCAGCAGGTGGGGCTCAGTCTGCAGTGCTACTTCCATGCCGTTAGCAAGCATCAGCCTGAGAGAGCCATCGGCGCCGATGTAGTAGCTGTTTCGGACTTGATCTGGAGAAAGGTAAGAGATGGGCTCAAGCCAGTGACTGATGACAGAAACCCATATTTAATTATTTTCCTTACCTGAGTTCTTGCCAAGCGTTTTGATGACTTTTAACACTCACCTTTACTGTTCACCATGAATGTCTGTTTGGGAATTGTCCATTTCTCTTTCAAGTCTAGAGAAAGTTTCACTTTCTGGACTGCACACACTTGCACAAAAACTGTTATGCGGGTTAAACAAGACTACAGGGGAATAATGTGTAATACTCTGTCATAGTATGTGTGTTCAGGTCTCCCTGTAGGGGATGGCCGCAGCAAGGATAAAAGCCCGATACTCTCTTAGCTAACAGAGTTACTCCTTTAGCTCACATAGTGGGCGGGTGGGGTTTTGCTGCTGAAGGTCCTGAATTCTATCCCTTCTGAAGCTCATGTGTGTCCACTGTTCGTAATTTTACATCCTAAACAAATCCTGAAACATCTGTCTCTATATCTGTACATAGATATGTCATTCTTGAAAATATGTCTGTTTATATTAAGTCTTGTAACCTCCTTTGGTGGAGACCAGGTTCTACAAGTGGAGCCAGCTGCTCTCCTCAGCCTTGTTCCTCCACCTCAAGGATTCTCACTGTAACTCAGCGCTAACTGCTTTCCCAATGACGTGCTCCTGGCTACCCTGAAAGAGGATTCTGAGGGACCAACAGTTGCTGTGGGAGGTGTGGGTCAGGCGAGTGCATAAGCACAGGGCTTCCATATGGCCTCCAGTGGATCCTGAAAGGGATCTTAGCAGTTCTACAGATTTCACGACTCAAATCCCATCAGTTCAGAAGTGGAGGGGAAGGGCAATATTCCTGCTTTCCCTCCCCAGGCTCCCCCAGGAGAAAACCAGGCAGAACCTCCATCAGTCAAAATTCACAGTTTCCAAGCACCTAGCGGAGAAGCCTTTGGAGCGTTTGGGCTCCACTCTGTGGGAAAGGGTTGTTCAAAACCCATTATGCAGTGCATGCCAGCTCTGCAGCTCCTTCGAAGGCTGGGGAACGCTCCCATCTCTGTCTCCCTGGCTGCTGTAAATACCTAATTGTGAATACAAAAATCCCTTTAAAAATTCATGAAAACTGTTTTTCCATTTTGAAGCAAGTTACATTTGTTCACTAGCTGCTCTCCTGCAGCTCGAGGGGAAATCAGGTCAGAGCAAAATTATCATCTCTCCTCAGGCGAGGATATATTGGCAAATGGCACAACTGGATACAATTAGGAGAGGAAGCCTAAAGCTGGCTGGTCTCTTTCATTATGGGCCTGATCCAATGCCCTCTGTAGCCAAATGGAGTTTTCCAATGATCTCAGCTGGACCAGATAAGCCAAACGCATGCAGATAACTAAGCGATGGACTGACACTATTACTGCAGTGATACTGGAATTTACCAGTGCGTATCCAAGTACTGCAGTGATCCAGGACTGCAGCTCCAAAGCCCTTTGAATATCTAAATGGCATAGTTAAAGCCAACAGGAGTCTTCCCATTGACCTTCAACAGGCTCTGGATCCGACCCGTAGACACCAACGCCTTGAGACCCCAGGGGCACTGGAGAGGTAGACTGGCCAGGGCTCCCTGATTCTCAGCTGCCCAGACTTGGCATAAGAGCTGCAGCATAGCAAATTTAACTTATGCCAGTGGAGAATCAGGCATAGCAGAGACTCACTCTGCTCCTCTGCCCTCCTCACATCCGACATCCCCCCTCCTCCTCACCAGGATGGGGGGTTCTGGTGCAGGAAGTGGTAGAGCTGCCTCTGGCAGCTTTACGCTGCACAGATGGGGACGCCGTCCATGGGAATCTCAGGACACTGTATGTTCGCCCTGCACCACATTAGCAGCGTCCACTGGTGCATCCAACCCCAAGAGCATGGTCTTCAGTAGCACACAGTCTGGGGAATAAAACTCTGGACCTTCTACCTCCACCATTTACCCTGACAGAGACTCTCCCCTAGAGCTAGCAAGAGGGCTTTTCCCTGGAGCTCTGTGAAATCCAGCTGTCTGTGTGAGCAGGGCTTTTACGTCAGCCTCAGTGTGGGTTTTGGTTCTGCTCAGTGTCACACTGAGTCCTGCATCAAACCGTATATCAGCCCAGTTTTGCGTTTGGTTCAGCCCGAGTCTGCTCAGAGCTCATTACGGGTTTCTTGAAAGGTTTAAAGCCAGTTTGGGGCTCATCATGAAGCTCTGCACCAATCAACTATGCCAGAGCTCATGCTAAGAGTTCTGTCAGTACCTTACGTTCTCTGCTGAACAACCACTGAGAGGGAGAGACAGTCTTAAAACCCCCAGAGCCACTATCGTGGAGTGGCACACGCAAGACAGTAAACTGCTGCTGCTCCTCAGCCAAGCGCTGGTTGATCTGCACACGGCAGACTCCAGAAACCTCTGTTCGGCCACCCCTGTGCTGCTCCCTCTATCACTGTCCCGCTGCCTTGGAACGTGTGGTTCCCCCTCCGTGCACTAGCTGTTTTGGAATTTTTTGTGCTCTCTACCTGGGAGACCCCTAGGCTGAAGGCGTAACACCACCTCTGAGTTAGCTGAGTGTGTTAGGCATCTGGCAGGCTAACGCGCTTGGTTTATGGGCAGGGCCAGCTCCAGGGTTTTGGCTGCCCCAAGCAGCCAACCAAACAAAAAAAAAGCCGCGATCGCGATCTGCGGCGGCAATTCGGCGGAAGGTCCTTCGCTCCGAGCAGGAGTGAGGG